TACGTTTGTCTTGGGAGCCACACAACCAGACAGAAAGATGGCAACGTTTCATCGCGTGGACTTTTCCTAGGTGATTGGGATGGCAGTCCTTGGAGAAGTACGTAATGCGTGGTAGAGGGTCAGTGAAAAAGTGAAGGTCTTCCACGAGATGGATTGACCAGGTGGCCACACCACTGGCCTCGACTCATTGGTTGTGGGGATGGTGCAGGACAGGATAGGATTGCATTCATTTCTACATGGGATCACTGAGCAGGAACCAGCTTGATGGTTTCTACCAATAGCAACTTATGAATACTGCCACTGTTATAATTTGGGTGGCACTTCTCTGAATTTGTTAACAAGTCTCAGAATGTATGTACACTATATATCTGGCACTGGACAGTTTACCCCTATCATATTTTCTAGTCTTGCTTCAATATCCATATAATGCTTCCAAATTCCTTTAATTCCTGTCATTTCTGTATACTGCTATATTCCCTTTATATGTTGTTTTTTGCCCAAGATGAATTGATAATTATTTTCTAGGTGGTAACCCTTTTGAATTATACAGCTAGGTTCTGATGACCAACTTGACAGAACTTTATTTCTTTTCAAAAATAACCCAAATACTATTTCTGATTGTTTTAGTCTGTAAGTAGTAATTTAAAGAGTTTAAAAATATTAAGAGATTAAAAATCAACAATAGCTATCATTTCTACAGAAACTTATCATTGATATATTTAATTTTACTTATAGATTTTTCTTTGAAGGGGAGAAAAATGCAGAAGCCCCTTTCCCAGGTCCTATCCTCACTGAGACATCTTACGCTAATCTCAAATGTGGGTGAAAAGACAAAGTGAGAGAATCAAAGTAGCAATAATATAATGTGCTTTTTAATGTTTCCACTTACTGCACTATGCCTCAAGTTATTCATCATACGTTACTATTCTTACGAATCCTGTGATAAATGATCTCTTCACTGGTAGTTATCTCATTGTATCTTTGGTATTAAGAAAACCACTTT